TCATCTGCAGAACCTGCTGATTGGTGGGACCATGCCTTTTCATATTAAATGCATTTTCCTGCTTTTCCACATACAGAGACTTATAGAAACTGTGTCCCACATTTTTATTGGCTCTAGCATTCAAAAGTCAACACTGCAGGGCACTTTTCTTAAGTCTGAGAGCTGGGAAAGCTGCCACTGTGGGTGCCATACAACTTAATGTGTCACCTTTTACTGTCAATGCTAAATTCAACAGGGAAAATTTCCGCTCAGAGGCATAATTTATGGCGATTTCAGGGGAATAAGATGAAACCACACACACACACACACACACACAAGGAATTGCAGCAGTGACGGCCAACCAAAAACTGTGACAGAAGCCACAGGAAGGCAGTTTTCATATAGTTTCTTCTTCCTCTCATTATTCACAGTTTTTTCATTTTTGGGGAGAATATTTATATGTAGCGTTGTTTAATAAGATATATGCAAATCTATCTTCATTACAGTGAAACCTAAAGGTTATTATCTGAAATACAAATTAATCAGTTAATTAACAATTACTGATAACAATTTGAACAGACAACACTCGACTTAATTTTATGTCATTATTTACATACAGAAAGCATTTAAAAAGTTGCATTTTTATAAAACAGTGCATTTATCTTCCATACGCTTAAACTGTGTAGCTGCATATTTTTAGGCCATTATCTAAAACCAAAGTGTTCCTAACAGCAGTTTGTGTTTGCAGGAAGCTTTTAATCCTTTCTGTGTTTTATTTTAGAAGACACTGTCGCGGTTACACTTAGACATGGCAGATTTAAATGCATCAAGAGTTTTCTTTACTAAAAACAAAACAAACAAACAAACAACAACAACAACAAACAGTCTGAACTTTCCCGAAAATGGTTCCTTACAGAAATTATTTCTGCTACAAGTCTATAAGCACCACTTAAAACAAACTCTTTCGGGGAGAAGTTCTTTGGTCGTTTATGGCTATTCGTGGAACTGAAAATGTTTCTTCTGCACCTTCATTTTTCAGACCACTTCCC